GCTCAATCAAAGAAGCGATGAGAAGGAATGAAGAAATGTACAAGGAGGAGGAAGAGGAGGCTCAATCAAAGAACTGAAGAGAAATCGAAAAGTTACAACGAAAGGAAAATCTCTGTGGATTTTCTTATGCAGCAAAATCGGGAAAAAATGTTGATGACATTTCTTTTGGACTTTAATGGTAAAGAGAGAAGAATTAAAAGAGAAAAAAAACAAAAGTAAAAGAGTTTTTTTTAACAGTTTCTTTCTTTCTTTGCCTTCTAATTTTTCTTTCTTTCTTTGCCTTCTAATTTTTCTTTCTTTCTTTGTCCTCTAATTCCATCTTTCTTTCCTTCTTTCTTTCTTTGTCTTCTAATTCATTCTTTCTTTCTTTCTTTCTTATCTAATTCTTTCTTTCTTTGGTTTCCAATTTGTAAAAGGAAGATAACGCAAACTTTCAACTTTCGAAGAATGCTACGATGTAGACAAAGGAAATTCTGTCTACCACTCACACAATACATTGTTCATATCGTTCGAGAAAGATTGTCGGTAATTTGTGATTTAAAAGCAGTATTTTGGATTTTGCTAACCAGACGCTTTTTCTGTAGCTGAGTGGTATAGCACGTCAGATAAAATGAGAGTGTCGTGTGGGACACTAGTTCGATTCCTGTTGTAGGACATATTTTCTACGAAATTTCTTGAACAATCAGGACGATAAATGTACTTACTGCTGTTTATTATAAACAGATCATTTATTTAAATAATTGTATCTATAAAAATAACGTATAAACAGAAAATATATTAAAATAATTGTTAGACTTAGTCCCTTTATAATATATATATATATATATATATATATATATATATATATATATATATATATATATATATTGATGCATGTTTCATTACATAATATAGACAAGTTCTGTCTATTTATTTTATGTAAATTCTTTTCATATCGTCTGATAAGCTTAATAACATTATCATTAAAGATGAAAGAAAAGCACAATATTGATACATATTTTTAATCATATCTAATCTTTAGGCTTACATAAGCCATTATCAATTATGACAATTGCATTACAATATATTAAACTATACGCAGACAAATCAATAATGATAGTCTGTTTTTGTTTACATGGAAGATTTTCAAGCAACGACAAACTCGTGCTTAGATAGGATTAAAAAAAATATGTATCAATATGGTGATTTTCTTTCGTCTGTTAATACCCTTCTCCAAGGATACACAGTGGATAACGGCGTTGGTTAGATCCAGTGACAGGACCCAAAGAGTGTGAGTTCAATACCTGGTTAAGCCAGTGGAGAACTTGGAGAGGGGAATTAACAGGTCATAACTGATAACTGATATCCACTAGAAATGGCACGTGGAACTAGAACAGTCTATCCCAGTGAGCGAAATAAAGGGTTCAGTTCGACATTCCAACCAACTGAAGAAGGCCGGAGCGTACAACGTCCGAAACGTTGTAATAAATATGGCGACAAAGTCCGAATAATGTAAATAGCGTACATGCTACCTCATGTCAGAAATATATATATATATATATATAGATAGATAGATAGATAGATAGATAGATAGATATAGATATAGATATATAGATATATGGGTCTTGTTGTCTGTTGTGTGTGTGTGTGTATGCGGAAGTAGTACAGAGTTGGTATTTTAATAAATAAGTATTAAACTTTTTTCAAGTAATACTTTTCCTTATGTTTCTTCTAATATTTGACTTCAGTTATGTGAAGAAGAATTGGTCACCATTTCTAGTGATCGACGGCTCAAAATGAACAATCGACAGTAGCCATTAATACATTTTGCATTTCGATACAAAAGGAATACCCGACATTAACTAAAAAGGCTTTCTTAGTTTTATTGCAATTTTCTACTTCTTATTTATGTGAATTAGGCCCCTCAACCCTAAAAAAAATCAAAAATAAAAAGCGAGAAAGACTACGCTCAACTGAAGAAGAAGAAATGAGGGTCTGCTTATCGCATATTCGATCAAACATGGAAGAAATCGTGTAAAAAAACAAGGCACAGGTTTCAAACTAAATAAGCTACAAAAATAGTTGAATAGAAACATCGAAATAAACTAAGTTCATATTTGTGTGTGTATTTAAAAAAAAATCTATGGATTTATTTTATAACATTTAAATGGATACCCTTTCAAAATGTTGCTAAGATATTTTCATTTGCTCCTAAGTTTGTTATTGTTTCAAAGAATTGAGAAACACTGATGTAGTTGCTAGTAAGTCAGTTTATTAAAGTTATAGTAATGTCGATTATCTCCAGGTGCTTCACTAATGTAAGCTTTACAAATACTCGTCTCACTGTGATGTAGTGACTAAAAAGTTAGTTTCCTTGTATGTTATGATGCGGTTCCAATTAAATCTCGAATATCCGTTTTAAAGGGATATCTTTTCTGGGGCTCGTTCTGTTTCTGTTAAGACTATCCCGTTTTCAGTGGTCTCTCCTCGTGTCCTGCGAAAGATATACACCTTTGTACAAATTAATTGCAACAAAACAAATAATTCCGTTATTATTTACTTTTTTCATATTTTTCAATGAAACATGACCCAGTGCATATGTTAGATCTTCGTATATCCATTCCACGAAGTCTTTCCTTGCAGATTGACCCCAGATTCTCGATAGCATTTAAATCAGGAGAGTTTGTGGGCCAGTCTGTACTACTTTGAGTTGCCTACTGGTAAGACTTGCCGGTGTGTTCATGCAGTGTTACAAATTTTCATACTCTTCCTTGGAGAAACGTCCATCGCAGGACAACTAATCGACAGTCGAGACAATAGCGTCTGGTTGTGATAAAAATCTGATTCAATCACGGATGATGCAATATTTTTCTAGGCCAAACAAATTTCATCATACACTCCGAAAATTGCACACTACTGCAAATGACCTAATCTGAGGAAAAAATAGAAATCGATTGCACCCTGTCACTCGAGTGGGTTTAAAACTGACCGTATGGCGAAAGAAAGTAAACTAAAGCGGTTGTTTTAATTAATTTGCACAAGGGTGTAAGCTATTAGTTTTGTTTTTAATGTTTGTGCCACCTTTGAAGTTTAAGATATGTTTGGTCATGAAAGAACAATTTCTTATACAAAAACTATTAATAAAACTTTGAAAACGGTTCCTACTTGAATCTTTAAAAATATTGAAACACTACATAAGACATTACTAATGTAGTAAGGTAGATAAACACTTGTTATTTGACATCCGTAGACTTGTCCTACACTAAATTAGAATGACAGATCGGGAATGCTAGAATCAAGCAAAAAGTTTCAAATATCTGGGAAATGTTTTAACAGAGGACTGAAAGTGTGACACTGAGGTCTGAGGATCTATTTGGGTTGGCGAAAAACAGTATCTGCTTTGCTTGGCAAATATAAATTTAAGCATTCAAGTCAAGGCAAGATACCCCAAAACTACGCAGAGGACATTTAAATCGAGAAACAGAATCTGCTAATTCCTGGTAAAAACAATTTTAAGCATTCAAAAAATTCAATGTCCCCAAACAATCTACAAAAGTCGGACTCCGTGGAAGAAAAAATAAAATTGTAAGCAACATTATAGGTAAATACAGCAAATCGACTCCGCTGGAATAGACATATATGACAGGGTTGCAACAGTTATTCACTGAGAACTATGCAAACCACTTGGGTTCGATCTTGTAGATAAATTGTATTACCCATGTTAAAAGACACACAATAAACAAATGAACGTAGAATTTTATTTTGGATTTAACAAGTTGATCATTTTTGCATACAAAGAGAATACTGTGCAGACTTCCAGTTCCTGAAAAGTAGCATTTTAAAATTCTTACAAGAACAAATGAACTAAAATCGTATAATTTTATTTTGGATTTAACAAGTTGATCATTTTTGTATCCAAAGAAAAAACTGTCTTCCACTTCTGGAAAAGCGCCATTGAATTTCATGATTCATTGGTATTAATCTACCAATGAATCATGTTTCAGGCAATATAGCTCCATTAGGAATAGTAATATCAAGAAGGTTTAGAAATGTAAATATCTGGGAAGGACAGAAAGCGTGACATTGTGATCAGAAGACGCATTGGGATGGCCAAAGATGCATTCCAAAAGCTAAGCAGAGTATTAAGAGACAGGAAAATGTTGTTAATAAACAAAGAAAAGAGTTGCTGAGATATCGGTTGGTAAATGTCTGAAGTTTGTGGGTCTTGGTTACCCGCCAGGTTTCCGAGTCGTAAATTAGGACCGAATGGCGTTGGTGGTGAAGATCCGGATGTTGTTGCAAAATGAGGAGAGTTGTTGATCTCCAGATTGGCCAGGAGAGTGTAGAAAGCGTTTGGGGCTTTGTTGATTCACTACTTATTCATATCTCCATCTATCTTTACTGACAACACTTCCCAGTTAAACAAACTTATCGACTTCCTTGATGCCTTCTTGTTGTAGACGCACTGGGTCTTGACTGTTGTTTACTCTCATGACCCCTGTTGAATTGGAAGTCAGTCTTCTCCAACTTCTAAGTATGGTTCTTACCAATTCCTGAACTATTATGTCCTCGTGTCAGACTAAGCAGAGTTTAGTTAATAAGTTCATGAGGTAGTTTAAGGGAACCTCTCAGAGATAATAAGTTGGTGTTGGAGCACAAGGACCGATTATGATTGCGTCGATTTTTAATACCTTGAAAGATTTACTTACTTGTGCGTGTATTTGTTGAGGCATCCCCACCCTACGACCTAGGATCGATTAAGCAGGCTGCGTCAAACGAATCTGGCGGATCCAGAACAAAAGCTGACCAAGCTCAGCCGTAGGATGCAATTGAATCAGTGAGCCAAGCAATCAGGGTTTCCATCGGAACGTCAAAAGCATCGACTGGACGTCTTATGCCACGTTTTTAGCTGCTCTGACACCCCGCTTCCGACAACTTTTTTTTTCTTTTTTTGGGTGGCGGGTGGGGTTTTCAGGCAATCGCCTCACGAAAGGCTTTGCCCCGGGTTGTCGACGTAGAGAATGGGCAAATCACTGAAGTCGTTTTGGGAGAAGAGCTTTGTTGGAGACAATTTTGCTGCGAGTGTGAAGGACCGTGTTCAAGATGAAGTGTTGCCAACGGGCCGCAGAGAATTCGAAGCAGGCAGACGTGTGATCGAATACTTCGTGCTTGAGAGGGTCTCCAGCTCTAACTGACCACGCCTCACAGCCGGAGAGTAGGATCGTTTTGAAAGGTTGGCGGAGTACAATCTTCATACTGTAATGACTATGCTCTCTAAACTAAATGAACAATATGAATGTGTAATCCCTGGAAAAAGTTTGTCTTAATGGAATGACTGGTGCTTTCATTGGCTCACGAGTTTGATTTGGATTGCATACCTCATTGTTGAAGCCTGAGTTAATTTGTATACCTTAATGGGGATCGAACCACAGTCCCCAACCGATAAAGTAAACTTTGGAAAAAATTTAACGTGTTTTCTTTTTAAAAGATTTTTGAGTTTTTATACCTGTGTGAGTTTTTATGAGGAATTTTCAAATCGGCTTCGGTCAGGCATGAATTTTCTTTTTATTCTCTTATTCAATATTATGATTTGCTTTTTTTATTTTTATTTTTTTAAAATTTATTTTTTATTTTCCTTCTTTCTTATTTATTTGCTATCAGTTCTTCTATTGTTTTTCTTTTTCCTTTCTTTGTCCTTTTTATGGGTCGCTCATATCATACATCTTGCATGTCATCGGAGATATTTTGCTATGAATGATATTGATGCAACGCTTTCCTAGAAAGACAATCGATGTCCATTGCTCTTGTTAGAAGTTAATGCATTTAAGACAGCCAAGAAACGGAATGGATTTGCACAAAAAAAAAAAACACTTTTGCTTATATATATATATATATATATATATATATATATATATATATATATATATATATATATATATATATTATGCGTGTGTGTTAGAAGAGTCTATTCTGGACATAAAAGCTATGAATCGTATGACCACTTAAGTCCAGCCATTCACTTTCCCATTGTTCGAATTTCAGGGATAAAGTACTTTCATTGTTTTTAATTTCAAACTCGATTTCTTTCTGTTTTATTTTTGTTGTTGTTGCCGTTGTTGTTTTATGTCAACGTTCAGGTCGTTTCACATTCTACGACCATTACACAAATCAAGTCATTATCCTTCATTCTCTGCGCTTCAATGCAACTCTGAAGTTATTAACGTTCGAAATTAGATGGATTCATGTAAGAAGTTTACAGAAAATAACGCTCAGGTCGTTTCTTATTCTACAACCTTTCAAAGACGTAAACTATAAAGTAACATGAGAACTACGATTCTAATTATTTGCATTATTTACATTATTCGGGCTGTTGTCCGCATCTTTATTGCCATATTCAAAACGTTTCGGCCGTTGTACGCTCCGGCCTTCTTTAGGTGACTTGCATTTCGAACCGAATCCTTGTAGACTGTTCTAGTTTCATGATCCATACCCCTTCCAGATGTCTCAGTTATTTTCCTTCGGCTCAATTCTCCAAGTTTTGGTTCACCACTTCTGTGGCCTGGTATTGAACTCACAACTCTTTGGGTTGGGGAATGGTTTGAATAATGTAAATAATGCAAGTAATCATGATACCTCATCTCAGAGATATAGAGGGATATTGCGATTCTTATATAATAATAATAATTCCGACGCGGAATCTTTCAAGGAGACTCTCTCTCTCTCACCCCTTCTGTTCTGTTTGTCCTTAACCCCTCTTACGCATGAACTAAACAACAGTAGCTATGGTTACAAACTAGACAAAAAATATTCAATCATCTACTCTACATTGATAGTCTCAAACTCTTTGCCAAAAACGACAATGAGTTGAAGGGCCTCCTCGATATTGTAAAATGTTTCAGTGACGATATAGGTATGGATTTTGGATTGGATAAATGTGCAAAAGTAACATTTAAGAAAGGGAGAATTACAGAAACACACTCAATAGATTTAGATTTTGTCGCAAAGATTAGGGAACTTGAACAAGATGAAGCCTATAAATACCTAGAAATTAGCGAAGGAGATGGAATACAGCATCCCCAAATGAAGGAGAAGGTAAGAAAGGAGTGTTACAGGCGTGTGCGTCTGGTACTAAATACCGAGCTGAATTAAAAAAAAAAACAGAATATCAGCCGTAAACACTTTGGCTGTCCCTGTGGTTCAATACAGTTTTAACATCCGTAACTAGACCATAGCTGACATTTAGCGACTGGACGCCAAAGACGAGAAAGCTTCTCATTTGCTACCGCATGCATCATCCCATGTTGATCGTCTGTATATGCCCAGATTCGAAGGAGGCAGGGGATTAGTTCAACTAGAAATGTCGTACAAAACTACAACAATTGGCATTCAAAGATACCTGGAAACTACAGAAGACTGGATGATGATATGTGTCAAAGGACATGAAAGTAGTAAGTGTCTTTATTCCGTAATAAATGAAGCCAACAAGTTTAAAATGGAGTTTCAAATGGATGCAGAAATACAAGTAAACCACAATACACCAACTGAAGCTGCAAAATACTTAAAAAAGAAAGCAAAGGCAAATGCAACCAACCACATACAGAAACAATGACAAGATAAAACGCTTCATGGCCAATACTCTGCCCGTACCAAACAAGCTGATGTAGACAAACCCCGTACCTATCAGTGGCTACGTAGTGCAGGGTTAAAAGCTGAAACAAGAAGGTTTTATCCTTGTTGCACAGGATCGGTGCTTGTTAACTTGAAATTATCAAGCACACATACTAAAATATAGTGTTAACCCAAAATGCAGATTCTGTGATAATTACTGATCATCTTGTATCAGGTTGCATGATATTGGCACCCACTGAGTATAAAAGCCGACATGACAGAGTGGGCCAATATCTGCACTGGAAAATATGCAACTTCTACGGGAAGGAAACTGAAAGAAACTGGTATGAACACCACCCAGATCCGGTTACGGAGATAGGACCTGTTACAATTTTGTGGGACTACACAATACCCACTGACAGAACAATCAAAGCTAACCGCCCAGACATTGTGCCTCCTTATTGATATGGAAGTCACTACAGACTGTAATGTATCTTTGAAAATCTTCAAAAAGCTATCAAAATACAAGGAGCTTGAAATCGAAATCTCAAAAATGTGGCACATGGGAACATCAACAATCCCTGTTGTAGTTGGAGCCTTAGGATTGGTTGGAAAAGATTCCAGTAGACTAATTGAAGGGTTTCCTGGAAGTCCATGCCTTAAAGAAATACAAAAAAATGTTCTCACGAGTACAGCCCACACCTTACGAAGGGCTTTGTTTATGTAAAATATGTTTATTTTCCAGTGGAAAATGTCATTATGCCATTTCTAACCTTAGGTCCCTGGGCGGAACCCGGAAAGAAATTACACATCAGAAATCAAAGGAAATAAAATAACAATTATAATAATAATAATAACAGTCATAGTAGGTGAGCTTTGAATGATAAAAAAGGAACACAAGAAGACATCGAAAAAATCCCTTGAAATCTCAGCTTAAGAGAAATACAAATAAATGTCTAGATAAGTACAGCCCACACACTAAGAAGAACTTTGTCCACGTAACGTTAGTGAGGTTAAGCAAATCCTGAAATGTAGCCATAACAACATACCACTCCCTGCTTTAGGCCTTCCCGCAGACTTGGTAGGTCATGTGACCATAGCAGAAATCGAAAGATGATGATGATGATGATGATGATGATGATGATGATGATTTTGGGAGAATATTTGGAACAACCTAAAAGACTATAATTCCAGTACAGAGGTGGGGTCAAACGAGAACAAGAATGAAACATAAAACTCTACAAGAATGGACAAATATAACCAAGAATCCATGCTAGGTAAACTCTAGAAACATCTCCAGGATGGAAGTCCCCAGAAAATCACAACATACCAAACTTTTGGCTCTATCATCTGTCATCAGTTCATAAAATTCTTGCACAAAACATTATCAATGCTAATTAATCACCCCAATGAAATTCCAGAATGGACCACTGACAGTATTATATATCTCTTACCAAAATCGGGTGAAACTCATAATCCAAAAAATGTATAGGCCAATTGCAGGAAAAAAAGTAAAAATCTCAGCATAGATTGGATAGATTACTGTAAAGCCTTTATAGAATGCAACACTCTTGGCTCTTTAAGCCTTTGGAAAGTCTCCGCGGTGATGGTAAATTTCTTTAAATATAGCATGGAACTGTGGATTATACTTAAATTCCGCCAAAAGTGCTGACACTTCCACTTGTTTGAATATCTAACGAGAAATCTTTAAATGAAACTTCCTGTCACCCCTTCTGTTCTGACTATCCTTAATCCCCCTTTCGTATTAACTAAACAGTTATAACGATGGATACAAAGTAAACAAGAAAGTGTTTAATCCCCTATTCGACATGGATGATCTCAAACACTTTGCCAAAGACGACAATGAATTGAAGAGTATCCCAAATACTGTAAAATATTTCAGTGATGACATATGTGTAGATTTTTGGATTAGATAAATGTGCAAAAGTAACAGTCAATAAGGGGAGAATTACAGAAAAACAATAGATTTAGATTTTGTCACAGAGATTAGGGAATTGGAACAAGAAGCCTATAGATAACTAGGAATTGTCGAAGGAGATGGAATAGAACATACCCAAATAAAGATTAATACTCCAGGCATGTGCGTCTGAAGTTAAATACCGAGTTGAATCCACAAAACAGAACATCAGCCATAAACACTTTGGCTGATCCTGTGTAGTTTCAACATCCTTAATTGGACCATAACTGGCTGGCATTAAGCGAATGGATGTCAAAACAAGAAAGCTTCTCATATGCCACCGTATGTATCATCCTAAGGCTGGTTGATCGTTTGTATGCGTCCGGATCCGAAGGAGGCAGAGGATTAGTTCAACTTGAACTGTCTTACAAAACCACAACAATCTGCTTTCAGAGATCCAGAAAACTGGATGATGATCTGTGCCAAAGAATATGAAAGAAGAAACTTTATTCAGTAATAAAGAAAACCAACAAACTGAAAAGGGAATTTCAAGTAGATGAAGAAGTGCAAATAAACATAATGCCCGGAATGCTGCGACAAAGAAGCGAAAAAAGTACCAAATGCAGAAACGATGGCAAGATAAACCTTTTTATGGTCAATACTCTGCCTGTACCAAACAAACTGATGTTGACAAACCCCGTAGTCATCAGTGGATACGTAGTGCAGGGTTAAAAGCTGAAACTAAAGGTTTTATTCTTGCTGCACAGGATCAATGCTAGCTAACTTGAAATTACCAAGCACGATATTCAGGTATTGTGATAAATAGCCAGAAACAAATGACCAACATCTGCACTGGGAAATATGCAAGTTTTACGGGAAAGAAACGAAAAGAAATTGGTATCATCACTCAGACCAATTTAAAGAGATAGGAACTGTAACAATTTCATGGGACTTTAAAATACAGACAGACAGAACAATGACATCGTGATCAAAACGACATGAACAAAATGTACTTTCTAATTGACAGAAGATAACCATCCCTGTTTATGCAAATAGTTCTTTCAAATTGTTCAACAAAATAAATACAAGTTTCTAGAAACTGAAATTCAAATGTGGCATCTCGAAACTAAGACAATTCCAGTAGTTATTGCAGCACTAGGAACCATACCAAAAATTATAAATCATTTCTCTACTAGTTGATAAACCTAGTTTGACTGAAAACCAGAAGATTACAGTCCCTTATCCTCGAGAAAGTACTATCAACGTGACAAGTTATGGAATATAAACATCTGGAAATTGCATGCCCATTTGCAGAGATTCTCAGAACTCTTCACATTTCGAAATTATTTCTTCTTTGTATTTTGAAGGTTCTTCTGTGAGTTTAGGAAATTTTTCCCCAGTTGTAGTTGGAGCCCTCGGATTGATTAGAAAAATTCCAATAGACTCATTGAAGGGATTTCTGGCGGCTTATGCCTTAAAGAAATACAAACAATTGTTCTCACAAGTACAGCCCACACCTTACGAAGGGCTTTATCTATGTAAAATATGTATGTGTTATTTGGGGGGGGGGCTCTGTGGAAAATGTCATGATGCCATTTCTGACCTTAGGTCTCTGGATTGGACCCGGAAAGAAATCAGTATACACCAGAAATCAAAGGAATAACAATAATAATAATAATAAATGTGGCACATGGTAACATCAACAATCCCTGTTGTAGTTGGAGCCCTCGGGTTGACTGGAAAAGATTCCAATAGACACAATGAAGGGATTCCTGGTAGCCCATTCCTTAAAGAAATACAAAACATTGTTCTCACGAGTACAGCCCACACCTTACGAAGGGCTTTATCTAGGTAGAATATGTGTAACCTGTGGTTTTTGTGTGGGTTTTTTTCCTAACAAAATGCTTAATGGAAAATGTCATGATCCCTTTTCTGACTTGAAGTCCCTGGTTCGATCCGGAAAGAAATGAGTATGCACCAGAAATCAAAGGAAATAAAAATGGATTAATCAAAGGGAAATAAATTTGATAATACTATTCATTTTATGACCTCTTTCTGCAAATATATATTTTTTTTTAAATTTAATCCTTATTTTCAAATTTGATTGCTTGATTTCACGAGGCTGACAGAACCCACGACACTTTCACAAGCCGTCAGAAGAGTGATGTTTAACTTTCCATTTAGATCAAGCATTAATTTGGTGATCGTCCGAGAATCGGTGTTTTCATGTGATATGGTCATAATCCCTTTATAACAGGAGTATATTTAAGCTTACAGCACCTGAAATTGCCAAAAGGTCACCCATCTGAGTACTGACCAAGCTTGACGTTACTTAACTTTGGTGATCGTAATCCCTTTATAAGACGAGCACCAAAAGACAGTAGGACAGAACAGAAAAAGAAAATGAATTAGTTTCTTATAAATATAGATTAAAGAACTCCTGTTTAAGCATTACCAGCTCAAATTCTTCTTTTATGTATCATTTGCGGTCATGGCTCTCCACAATTTCCTGTTCCTTGTAGCTCTTAATAACTTTTGTCTTTTTGTTATCTCTCCCAAACCCTGCTCTGCCTTTCATTTTCTCAAGGTAGGTTGTGCGTTGCTTTCCTCTGTTCCCTTTACCATCAATCTGACCTGTGAGTATTAAATTTTCCAAGCCCTTTTTCCTCATAGTATCTGTCCCCAGAAACGCAAAAACAGAAAAAGAACCATTATCTGGTTTAACCCTCCATAAAATAAAAATGTCAAAACAAACATAGGAAGGACATTCCTAAACTTAATAGAAAAGCCCTTCCTTGAAACAAATCGATTAGCAAAATTATTCAACAAAAATAACATTAAAAACAGTTACAGCTGCACAAAAAATATAAGACAAATAATAAAAAGCCACAACAAAAAAGTAACAACATGCAATAATGCAACCAACGAACCTCAATGCAATTGCAGAAATATAACAACATGTTCACTCCAAGGAAATTTCCAACAAACTAATATAATATATAAAGCCAAGGTGAGTGCAAATAACAGCACAATATACCTCATCGGTGCCACTGAGGGACCATTCAAGAAAAGATAAGACCACGACCTTTCATTCTCCAAAAGAAAATACTCAAACAGCACTACACTATCCACATACATATGGCATCTAAAAGGCAGAAATATTACACCAGGAATAAGCTGGAAAATATTGAAAAACGCACCTTCCTACACCAACATTACAAAGAAATGCCTACTTTGCCTACACGAAAAGGTAGCAATAATTTCTCATACCCAACAAAAGAATTTACTAAACATAAGATCAGAAATAATTTCTAAATGCAGGCATGAAAACAAATACCTATTATCAGAATTTATACCAAACGGATAAAAAAAACCAAAAAAAAAACAAACACTGCTACATAAAACACCATTGACCCTATGAACATGATAAGAGAAACCATTGACACCATAGCACCATCAATTATTTTCTAGTTCAAACTACCATCATAATAATTATAATTATTGTTATTATCATTCCACCACCATTACTACGATCACTTCTACTACATTACAATAACTATTTGCTGCTACAATTGTTATTATCGTCACACACACACCCACACACACACACCATTACTACCACATCACAATTACCATTGCCGTATTAGTCCACAATTATACTTACTTCTCCCTCCCTAGCAAAATTAATACCATGGCATAAATACTAATAAGTATTACAAATTGAAGTTTCTACCATTTACATATGCGCAATCGCCAAAAACAAGAAAATAACCGGTTTTAAAGTAATAACAAAAGACCCTTAAAAAGTTAAAATAATGGCAATTTTTATCCATCATAGTCTTACACAGACCCCATCCTACGTATATACGTGCGTGCGAGAAAACATTATTCAGAGAACAAAATAGAACGGTCTACGTGTTGACAGCGCAACAGGCATAAAAAATATTCGCTACACAATCTAACGTTGAATAGAGCGACCAAAGGCGTACGTATGTACGCCACGACACATGGATGCGCATATACGCCCAGTCCCAAACTGTTCACATATGTTTATGTTTGTCTGAGCTCCAGTGAGTGAGCGTGCGTGTCTGCGTCCTTCAATGAGTGTAGGTGCGCGTATGTATGTTTTCGTAAGTATGAGGGGGCGTTCCGACGACAATTTTTCCTCCCACTTCCATAAATCACCGATATACGCAACCATACATAAATCCAAAATTTAAAAATTTTTCAGTTTGTCTGACGATCGGAAATAGCGTGAAACCCAGGGTCACAAACTCGCATTAATCCAATATATATATATATATATATATATATATATATATATATATATATATATATATATCAGGCTGTTGAGATCTATCTATCTATCTATCTATCTATCTATCTATCTATCTATCGCAGTCTGTTTTATCTATCTCAATCTGTTCATATCTATCTATCTATCTATCTATCTATCTATCTATCTATCGCAGTCTGTTTTTATCTATCTCAATCTGTTCATATCTATCTATCTATCTATCTATCTATCTATCTATCTATCTATCTATCTATAGCAGTCTGTTCATATCTGTCTATCTCAGTCTGTTCATATCTATCTATCTATCTATCTATCTATCTATAGCAGTCTGTTCATATCTATCTATCTATCTATCTATCTATCTATCTATCTATCTATCTATCTATCTATCTATCTATCTTTTGGCCATTAAGTAAATTAAATAAAACCTTTGCTGCCACGGATTTCTGAAATGTGTTTTTACCTGAATTCATTGCGGAAAACGTTTTCCTTCTCATAGGCATTTAAGGCAAATTTTGAATTGGTTTAAATCGTGCTATTTTCAGTTTCATTTTCCCTTGATCTCCCAGTACTGACCCGGATGTTCAGGTGGAGATCATTTTTTTTTTTTTCTCCATCGGAAAAGAAACACAAAATATCAGCTCAGATATTTATATCGTTAACATGCAAACTTTTGATGAAAATAGCGCGCCATTTTCGGGAATGAATTGATTTCGTTCATTTAAAGTTTGGAGGACTTAAAAGCCAGAAATGTGCACGACTTCAAACCAAGCAAGCAATTTGAAGACTTCTCCAAGAGAAAAGTTTTCTCTCACTATCTCTCTTTCGGTCTCATCTACTCTCTCCTTTTCCATACGCTCACAAACACACCACGCATACGCACGCAGGCACACACACACACACACACATACACACACACACACACACACACACACACACGAATATGCGCATAAATAATCGCACGCAAACATGTACAAACACACATCTCTCTGTTTATTGTTCTTTTTTTTACTCTGTCTCTGTTTACTTTTTCTTTCATGTACTCCTCTCGCCATAAGGATTTTCTTTCTTTCTTTCTTTCTTTATTTATTTCGCTTTCTTTCTTTCTTTCTTTCTTTCTTTCTTTCTTGATTTGATACGTTCGTCCTTAGTTTGATTTACAACTCTTTTTCTTTCTTTCTTTCTTTCTTTCTTTCTTTCTTTCTTTCTTTCTTTCTTTCTTTCTTTCTTTGATACGTTCGTCCTTAGCTTGATTTATAACTCTTTTTCTTTCTTTCTTTCTTTCTTTCTTTCTTTCTTTCTTTCTTTCTTTGCTTGTTTGGTTAGTTGTTTGTTTTTTTTGTTTGTTTGTTTCATTCTTTCTTTATTTATTTCTTTCCTCATTTTGCTTCATTTCTTTCTTTCTTTCTTTCTTTCTTTCTTTCTTTCTTTCTTTCTTTCTTTCTGCTCTCCCCCCTCTCTCTCTCTCTCTCTCTCTCTTCGTACGCTACCTTCCTAAACACGTATACACCTTATCCTGGACTCTCCCACCTCTCGCACTCTGAATATTTCAGCCGCAGAGGCAGACACACCCATTTTCTAGCACATTTCCCAGCCCCCAAAGACGCAGGTTAGCAAGTAATTTTCTTTCATTCTAAATATTAACTGAAAAAAAAAATGTTTCCCTCTGACCGATTTTAAATTTGCCTTTCATTTTCCTCCATAGCATTAATTAATGCTTGCTAAAATACTCCATCAACTAAACCTCCCGTGATTTCTCGATAAACGTGCAAATAGATTTCTCCTAAAATTTTCCTGTGAATAGCCGAATGGCAAGCATCATTATTTTGTAAATGTCAGCGTATATACTCGAGTAAAAGTCGAGATTTTATTCTAAATTCCAAAGTCTAAAGTGAAGCCAGTTGATACTGGATAACAGCCACGTTAATTTAAAATCAGTTAAAATGAGTTCAATTTACTAAGCGTAGCTTAGATGTGGCACAAGGCCGAAATATGGTGCACACTTTGAGGATTGAACTCCCAAATCAGTCGTAACTGATCTAACGAGATAAGCTTGCTAACCATTATAACGTCGAACTCTCTAGAATGATTATCTAAGCGTAGCACAAGGCACAAGGCTGATCGTGGGGAGCACCCAGTGAGGATCGAACTCACTCGTCGAAATTGGACCACGTCGAAATGCCCCAATGATTGAAAATATTGATTTAAGCGATAAAAGTTGACACAGTGTAGATATTTATTTTAAACAATTCTGTTAAAATCGATAGAACGTCACCAGATCAAAGAATATTGAAACTGATCGATTTTATAGAAATGAGGGACCTGTTTACACGGTAAATCTTCAGCCTGTCTATATTTTTAAGATGAGGTATTATGTACACTATTTACATTATTCGGACTCATCTTTGTCGTCATATTTATTACAACGTTTCGGCCTTCTTCAGGTGGTTGGAACCTTTTATTTCGCTCACTGTAGACTGTTCTAGTTCCACGTGCCATGATCAATGGATATCTGTTATCTCCTGTTAATTTCCCTGAAAGTTCTCCACTGCCTTAACCGGGTATTGAACTCACAATCTTTGGGCCATGTCATTGGATCTAACCAACGTCTTTATCCACTGTACCATGTGTCCTTGAGGACACCTGTGCATCTAGGTATTATAAGCCTGATATCTTCAGCAACCATTTTTACCAATGATCATATTGCAATTTTTTGCTGTTATCATTTCATGTTTTTACCAGAGCTCATATTGCAACTTTTGTTGTTATCATCACTTTTCTCTGGCACTGAGTAATTTGTTATTCTTGGACCAAACAATTAATATTGATTGAAATCTATAACATATTTTCCTTGTTTTCCTTTTCTTAAGCAAGGTAATAAAGTCACTAAGATGCGAAGGGTTTAGTGAGTGTTAGAGTCTTTGAGCTGGGTTTTTCGTTGTGTTTTACGGCATATCAACCTAAATGGTTTATTTAATGCCGACAAGATTTTTATTGCTGGGAATATTTTTATCTATCTATCTATCTATCTATCTATCTATCTATCTATCTATCTATCTATCTATCTCAGTATATATTAGTCTGTTTTGTTTTGTTTTACGGTATATCAACCTCAATGCTTTAATTTTTTCCGTCAAAAATGTATTGATGGTAATAATGCATTGTTTCTAATATTTTTTCCTCAAAATATTTATTAAAAACTATTTTTACACTTTCATAGGGTTTTGGCTCCAATTTTCGGTATTAACTGTTTGCCCATAATTGTGATCCTAACAGGTGCTACCGCCCCGGGTCAGGGTGAACCTGAGAACACCAGCAATTAAGAGGTGGTTCAACACTCGTTAAAACCTCCTTGCTGCTTGATGTAGTTTATCGTCTTACCCAGGACAAGAGACTGAGGAAAAAAACTACTATTAAGGAGAGAGGACAATAAAAGAACAAGAATTAAGAAGACAGAAGATAACGATTGACATTGCATTTAAATTTTTGAAGATCAAAGTTAATTGGGAAGCAAGAAGCAAGTTCCATAAGAGAGAAGTGCGATTAAAAAAAAACTGTTATACGGATGCATATAATAATTTAATCTGTGAAGTGAAGAAACCTAGCCGCCAATCAAGTACTGCGTTTAATAAAGTCTTGGGACCATTGAGGAATGTTCATCAGAAAAAGTACCATGGATTAAGGCCGTGGATTAAGGCCACATCATGTTGAAACACCGGTGCCCGTACGATCACTGAAGTTAAACAACGTAGAACTTGGTCAGTACTTAGATGGGTGACCGCTTCGGAATACGAGCGGCTGCAAGCTTAGCTTTGTGGATGTTATAATAGATAATGGTATGGAATTGTTAATCGGTGAGCAGAGTTCCAATTCCACTTGGGTTCGTTATATTCACTTACGTGCAAAAACCTTTGGGAAATCCAAATCATTGAGACTCAACTGCGAAGTGAACGTGTCAATGCTTTATGGCAGGGGTTCCTAATGTTTTTATCCTAGCTGCCACCCTCTTGGCTACCAGATGATATCCTTAGCGCGGCCATTCCCACACTCACACATTTCTTTCTGGCTGATTCTAAACAACAACTAGTAACACTTTAAACACACATTGAGCATTTCGGCTTTTCTTCGAATAACATCCGTGGTTACACCCTGGCGCAAATTGATATACCTATATGTACACCCTTGGGTAAATTGATATACTTATACATACACCCTTGGGTAAATTGATATACATATATATACAGGGTTGTGCTGATTGATATACATATATATACGACCTTGTGCAAATTGATATACATATATATACAATCTTGTGCAAATTGATATACATATATATAAACCCTTGTCCAAATTCACACACACACACACAAACACACACACACACACACATATATATATATACATATATATATATATTTATTTATATATATATATATATATATATATATATATATATATACACCTTGTGCAAATTGATATACATGTATATACACCCCTTGTGCAAATTTATATATATATATATATATATATATAAATATTTATTTAAAATTATAACATAAATATGTTAATATATATATATATATATATATATATATATATATATATATATACATACACCCTTGTGCAAATTGATATGCATACGCTTTCTAATAAGTACTAAGTATATAATCTATAAATAATTATACATATATATATTTATTTATATTTATATACACTTTTCACACACACACACACACACACACATATATATATATATATATATATATATATACATATTCAAGTATAGAATTGGTGTATATGGAATAAATTCCAATAACCAACAATTACTATTCTTAAAAGAGTGCTCAATACAGAGTAGAGCAGATATAAATATTTATTTAAAAACTCTTCTAACAAAGATGTTTTTAATAAACATCGGAATTTTTACAATTCTGCACTCAAAAATAGTGGATACAAAGATATCACTATTCAATATAAAAACCCTGTTAATTGTAACCATAATAAGAAAAGAAGATCTAGAAAGATCATCTGGTTTACTACCCCTTTCAATATAATGGTTAAAACTAAATTAGGACTTATATTTCTAAACCTCATCAAGAAACATTTCCCAACCCTGAAACTAACCTACTTAGTAAAATATTTAATCCTAATACCTTTAAATTAAGCTATAATTGTGCAGATAACATAGAGAAAATAATTAAAAAAAACATAACAACAGAGTCTTTAACAAGTATAGGGACTCAAAAAACTTGATTACTCAACAGGTTGCAAACAGCAATACTAAGTATAATAACACGAATAACAACTTATGTAATAATAGGAATCCTAATAATTGTCCACTAAAAATAATTGTATGACTAGTTCTGTAGTTTATCTTAGTACAATCTTAACACTAGAAAATCCAAATATAAAATTTTTTTATATTGGTAGCACCATGAAAACCATTCAAGGAACGTTGGCGGGGGCGTATGCAATTTTTTAATAACAGTAACTATATGTACAAGACTTCATTATGCAAGTATTTTTGGAATCTAAAAGAAAAGAATAAAACACCTACGGTTAAATGGAAATTGATTAAGAAAGCCCGGACATGTAACTCCCTATATGCCCCATGTTACCTATGTCTTAACGAAAAATTTGAAATAATTAGATTTAAAAATAAGACTGATCTCATAAATCAAAGATATGAACTAACTGTTAATTATAAACACCGTTATAAATTTAACTTATTATAGGGGTCGTATACTTTCAATGATAATGATATATCGCTGTAAGTTTAATAGATAATTACTTTTATAACCTGATGGTCATCCTGACGATATGAATTTGTATTGTGTACCTACATAATGTTATTCGTGTCTGTGTATGTATGTGTGTATTTGTGTGTATGTATGTGTGTTTGTACTGCTGGATGTGTATGTGTATATATAAGTGTATTTATAGGTTAGTAGGGTTATATATATGTATATATATATATATATATATATATATGAAGAAAAATTTGGAAAAACAAACAAAAATCCTTAAATGCAATTATGTTGTTTAAAATGAATGCGTCGCCCATGTGACGACAACGTGACCATGCTAAACGGAAAGCTGATCATTTTAAAAATTTTCAGTTATCTGTTTTGGATAAGACTTGTTTTTTATGTCCATCGTCTTTGTCAAATTGAACTGAATTGTATTTTAATGAATATTGTCTTGAAAAAGGTTTATTAAACCGAAACGTCAGACGTCGACATTTCATTCATTTTAAACAAACATAATTGCATTTAAGGATTTTTGTTTGTTTTTTCCAAATTTTTCTTCATTCTGTCGGATCTATATCCATTTACATTTGCTTATATATATATATATATATATATATATATATATATATATATATATATATATATAAACTAAGAAGGTAAAAAGGAGAAGAAGAAGAGAAGAGGTTAAAAAATATATATATATATATATATATATATATATATATATATATATATATGTATGTATGTATGTATGTATTTATAAAGCTCTAGGTTATTCTATCGAACACTGTTTTAAATCGGCTAATATGGAACGTGTAAACATGGGTTATTCACTCAAAAACATACCTATACCTGACCGTCACTCATACGAGTTATGTTTGCTAAGAAAAATAGGAAAGTTTATAGTAAATATGAGGTGGCGAGCATATTTTCGTCTGAATAATAAACCTAATAGCAAAACCAAAGCTATGGATTTAAGAGCAATGGTCATCCTCCGTATGTTAAGGCTTAACATACGGGGGTTGGGCATTGGTCTTAAGGAACTCAATAACTTCGAATCGGAGTTAATCGGCATCATTAAAAAATTAAAATATAGAAAAACAAGAAATAATAACGTGCAACAGCAAATTACTAAGAACATAAAAGAAATAAAGAATGATAAGAATATCTCCATAAAAGCCGATAAATCTAAATTCTTATATATAATGAGCCCCAATAATTACAAAAAAAAATATTACATAAAGAAGTAATAAAACATTATATAAAAGCCCCAAATGAGGCTAGTATCTTAATTAATAAATTTGAATTAGGTAACCGGATTGAAAAAATAAAACTAAACACTTGCTTTATCACCATAAAAGATCATAAAAGTAATTTCATTAATAACCCTGAATATAGACTCATAAACCCTACCAAAATTAGAATTAGGTAAGATAAGTAAGATAATTATGCAGGATATATGTAAATCCCTGAGAACTTTCCTTAATATTAATCAATGGTAATTGACTAAGTATTGTATTAAGTGGTTCGAAAATTACAACAAAAATGAAAACTGCTCATTCATTAGGTATGATATTAAGGGATATTACCCGTCTATCTCAGAGAAAACCCTTAATGAAGCCCTCAGCTCAGCTAAAGAATATATCCAAATTCCGGATGATAAAATGAACCTAATTAGACATTGCAGAAAAACATTGCTATTCCACAATAATGCAATATGGATAAAAAAGATAATGTTAACTGTTTTGACAATCATATGGGAGCATATGATGGAGAAGAGGTGTGCGAGATAGTAGGGTGCCTGCTGCTCCATAAGCTTAATGGCTATATAGATTTTAATAACCATGGGTTGTATCGCGACGACGGTTTAATTATAGTGGATAAAAGTAACCCTAAAAAATGTGACACTCTCCGTAAAAAACTACACTGGTTTTTTAGAAAATTCGGATTTAATCTCGAAATAGAAACTAATCTGAAAATTACTAACTATTTAGACATTACGTTGAATTTAAAAAATGGTACTATATCCCTGTATAAAAAAGAGAACCAGGAACCTCAATATTTAAACGTAAAATCCAATCACCCAGCCCATATCATAAGGCATATTCCAAAAAACATTAGTTATAGACTTTCAACTAATTCCTCTAATAAAGGCATTTTCGAGGCCAATAAAACAATTTATGAGGAAGCCCTAAGAGTGGATATAAAAATAAATTGGAATATATTGACATAAATAGTTATAACAGTACTCAGAACAAACGTAACAATAGGCAAAAAAAGATTTTGTGGTTTAACCCTCCTTTTAAGTTAGCGGTAAAAACAAAAATTGACAAAATATTTTTTGACTTATTAGAGCAACATTTCCCAAAAAAGAAACTGAGTTACATAAAATATTCAATAAAAATAATGTAAAACTTAGTTATTGTTGCATGCCTAATGTAGGGACCTTAATTAGTGGATTGAATAAGAAAAAAACTAGGGATAATCCACGCGGTAGCCCTCCTACTTGTAATTGTAGAAACAAAAATATCTGCCCCATTACAGGGAAAATATCAGCAAGAATGCGTGGTTTACCAGGTGAAAATTTATAAGGATATGGAGGATACTAACCCTAAAATATACATAGGTGCTACTCAGAATAATTTAAAAAAAAGATACTATAACCAAAGGAGTAGTTTTTAAAAACGCAAAAATTAAACATAGTACCACGCTATCTACCTATGTATGGAAAACCAAACAAGAAGATAATATAGACCCTATCCTTAAATGGGAAATACTAAAAAAATGCCCAAAATATAAAGCAGGCCAAAAATTTTGTAAATTATATACAGAGGAGAAATTAGCCATAGCTTTATATAATCAACCTAACCAGCTATTAAACTCTAAAACTGAAATCCTTAACGTATGTAGGCATAAAAAAATCTTGGTTACTAAATTAAGACGAATTTCCCCGTTTATTTGTCATTCCACCTTAATGTTCGTATTTTAATATCCCCTCCCCTTTTAGTGGAATAAATCTTTAACCTCCCCACCTCAGTGTTTTTGTTTATCTTTTGGTCACGTGGTATAATTTTGGCTATTGTCGATAAATATGCGTTTCCCTTTGCCTCTTTAGCCGGCTTTCCCTGACGATCCGCTTAGGTGAAACCTAGATAGGTTTGTCTGGCTCACTAGGTTTATCTATATATATATATATATATATATATATATATATATATATATATATATATATTGTGTATCTATATTTATATTTACGTATATCTCTGTATGTATGAATATGTTTATATATGTATGTTAGGATACATGTATATGGGTGTGTGTGCGTATATGGATATATGTTTATGTATGTATATGTATGTACGTCTATGTATGTATATGGTTGAATGTCTGTGTATTTATGTGTATGTACTTATATATCTGTACTTGTTATTATATATATATACATATATATATATATATATATATATATGTGTGTGTGTGTGTATGTGTGTGGGTGTATATGTGTGTGTTGACACCTATCATATGTAAGATTGTTTCTGTGTATGTGTAGGTTATAAACTTTGGTTTGTGTTTACTTCCGCGTGTGTAAGTCTATGTGTGCATATATGTATAACTTAAATGTGTATTTGCGTGTATATATATATATATATATATATATATATGAGTGTGTGTGTATATGTGTGTATATATATATGTATGTGTATATATATTTGTATTTATATGTGTTTAGGTGTGTATGCATGTATATATATGTATATGTATATATGTGTATATTTATGTGTATATGCGCGGATGGAAGTGTACTTATATATGTGTATACATGGATGTGTCGATAAGGGTATTTATACATGATTATATATTTGTATATGTGGATGTATGACTGTATGTCCTAGTATATATGTATATGTATGTATATATCAGTGTCTTGGAACATACCATCGATACTAACTAAAATCTACTCTTGTATAATAGGGAATTTTTAATTGCTTATAAACTCAATCAATAACTGTGTGTGGTAACTTTTTAAAAAATTATTATAAACTTTTACTATATCTTATCATCAATAAGATAATGTTATTAGAATGTATGTATATTCCCATTTTTATGTGTGTATGTATATATGTATGCGTGTGTATGTGTATATATATGTATATATGTATGGATGTGTTTGTGCGTATCTATGTCTATATAGGTGAATTTACGCTTGTATGGTTTTCTTTATGTGTATGCGTGTGTTTGTATATGAGTTGGTATATATGTATGTTCGAGAGTTTAGTTTATATACGCATATGTATACATGCATATTTGTAGGTATGTTTATGTATGTGTGTATATGTATGTGTATGTGCATTTGTATGTATATGTATATTTGTATGTATGTGCATGTATGTATATTTGGCTTGTTTATTTTTTATGTCGCTGTGCAGGTTGATATATTTATACTTGCTTCTGTATGTGTATATATGCGTATGTGTATGCATATATATATATATATATATATATATATATATATATATATATATATATATATATATGTAGGTATATGGACATATATTTGTGTGTATGTGTATATATGTATATATGTGTGACTGTACACTTATATCTGTAGGTAATTCTTATCTTATTTTCTCTCGCCTAATATATAATAAGGCATATATCGACTTATATGATTAAAATATATATTTTTATTGATATTTGTGTGTTTGGTTTTTTATGTATTAGATAATGTTATTTTTAACCATTTTTATCTATGTATATTTTCCCATATAAGTTATATTTTAATAAGTGGTTAGCATTCGTTTAATAACACTTTCAGTCTTGAATATTTCTTGGTTGTGGTATCAGATTGTCTAGGTCAATGTATGTGGATGTGTGTACATGTATTTATCGGTGTTTATGTGTATGGAAAATGCATGAACTTTTAATTGTTTATGTATGCATGTGTTTGTTCCCCCCCTCGCTTTTTTTTATAAAGGGCCGTGAAGATGTTCCCAGTCTCGTCACTTTTTTGTGTGTGTATGTATATAAATATGTCTGGGTGCTTATGTATTATAATCTGAGTGTGTTTGTATTGTTTTACGCGAGAGGTTAGGACCCCATTCATACACATGGGTCTATTCTAACGTAATTTCAATGAAGAAATAAATTGAATAACATATGTATTTCTTCTTTTCTCCTCAGTAATTTTATAATTTTAGTGAATAAATTTGGATTTTAAAATTGGTAATTTTTACTTTTAATTTTAATATCAAATTTTATTATATAATGTAATAATTATTGATAAGAATAAATTCTTTTTTAATATTAGCCCTATTTTAAAGATCAGAATAGCTATTTTAACATGACTTCGTTATCAAGCTTTTTGATTTTTCCTATACTTGTATTTTGATTGGTCATTCTAGCTTTTATAACAATGTTTTCCCTTTGTGAAGGATCGTTAATTAATTTGAAACTTTTAAAACCATTTATTTTATATTCAACATCATCACTTGATAAGACTCCGGAGGTGTTGAAACAAAATGGTTGTTTTTGTAGTGATTTTATAACATATTTATGTTATGATTTTTAAATAGATATTTATATCTGCTCTACTCTGTAGTGAGCACTCTTTGAAGAATAGTAATTTTTGGTTATTGGAATTTATTCCGTATACACCAATCATATACTTATATATATATATATATATATATATATATATATATATATATATAGTGAACATAGAAGTCAACATTAAAGGCGACAGTCTGTTTCATGCTAGATGCAATCGTCAGGCCACGAGTGCTGCCTCGTGGGCTGATGATTGCATCTAGCATGAAACAGACTGTCGCCTCTAAGTGTTGACTTTACGTTCACTTTTATATTTACACACGCTCTATCTCTGATATTGAGCACTTTATCCCATAAATATAGCACATCTTAAGACTATATATATATATATATATATATATATATATACCTTGTGTAAACTGATATATATATATATATATATATATATATATATACAACCTTGTGCAAATTTATATACATATATATATATATATATATATATATATATATATATATATATATATATACACACCCTTGAGGAACATAGACTCAACTGATTTTAAGTGAATTTAGATATTTCTCATGTCATTAATTCAGAAGCCCATTAGAATCGTAAAGGCACCTTATGTACCTCATCCAGGACACTTTCCAGGACACTTCGGCGTGGTGCAATGGTTAACAAGCTTGTCTTCCTAGAACAATTACGCCTGAGTAGTGAGTTTGGTCCTCACTGGGTGCTCCATACTTTCGGCCTTGTGCCACATCTAAGATACACTTAGAAAATCACCATATGTACTGCATCCATAGCAGCAGTGGTGTGTCTAAGTTAAAATAGCCTGATTGATCCCATCTCTCTTCATTTGGGATCATTTTGCCACCATAAGAGATTCTAGTATGCCCTGCTATTTAATCCATAGCGGGGGAAGATAAATTGGCGCTAAGTGACCGAAACAGAATCCACCTGAAATTGAACACTATCAACACACCTCTAAAACATATGTATTCCATAAGCGTAAATGACTTACATTTTGTCGTGTAGTGTTTGTAAAAAAAAAAAGGATAATTATTTCTGATGCCACACTGCTCGTCCTATTAGCTTTATTTTTATAAATCCACCCCTACCCCTGATGTCTTCGGATCCACCACCTCATAAATCTGTCCACTTCCCCCAGAGGTGGGGTCGGTGCCGTCAAATTTGGTAATCCCAACTTTACAGAAACCTTCCTTTCTCAACTCCTCCATTGACTACAACTGATCATTACATGCTCCAATGACCCTCTGTCAAACGGATTCACAGTATACAGAAATTTATTTATTGTTGAACAGCAAGAAAACTTTAAGATATACTGGGGAAATAAGTTTTAAAAAGACTGTAGGCTCTATGAAAGTAAATGTATATTAAGTCTAATATGATGTTTAAGATTGCGCATATTTCATGACCTTGTGCACCAAGTTAGACAATGACAAGTCACTTTTTACCGAGGTTTTCAATTTGGCCCTTCCATTTCTATAAAGGGAATCCTTTGCTGAATCCACACAAAACCAAATATTTTAAAGATCGGTTCACATTGCATTTTATACATTCGTATATTACCACACTGACCATTGGGTCCCTTTTACTCAAAGTTTCAATTTATAACTGCCTTCAAATGTGACCTCTCCCCTCTGGAGCTACATGGTCTTCATCAACAAAAACTACACTACATCATACTTCTAAGTTATCTAAATAGAAATGAACTTTTTTTTTCTCATTTCTTTTTTTCTCTTATTTTTCAGTGGCGATGGCCCGGCTACGTCTTTGTTATGTATCGCCTCGGCATTTCACTGTTTACCGTGACCAGCCTAATCGACTACTTGCTGATGACGTCACAAAACTCGGAGTTGGAACACAACATCTTTGTCTACCTAACCACGTGGACCTACCTGTTGCTGGTCCTCTACACCATCACATCTGCAGCCACGGCCGCTTACTTCTACTGGCTGCGGCAGATCAGAAAGTTCGACCCTTCCTGGACCCCTGCCTCAAAATTCACGTCGGTGACCAACCTGTTGGCTGCTAGTCCGAGTCTTCACACCACCAGCTCTGGTTTTGTCCTTGCTTCCATGACACCTGCAGCTTCGGCTGCCCCAACCTCCCCTACAAGAAAAACTAGCGAAAGTACCCTTACAACCACCCCGAAAGTGCCTAGACGAAATCGAAACTCGAAGAGACATTCGAAATTGGTTTTAGAAAGTGACCCCGGGTGTATGATTATACCACCACCACCCCAGTTCGATACGGGTAGCTACACTAAGGTACCTAGCGAGCCGGACGTCGAACCGTGTTACTATAAAGAAACTGATTTGCGAAGGTTGTCCGATCTACGGGATAAAACTAACCAGGCAGATGAAGAATTTAGCTGCTCATTGACCAGTCCCACGACTACAAGACCAACGACCCCGACCCCAAATCAAACATCAGTCAGGACACATGTGTTTTCGAGCGAGTCTCATCATGAACCTTTGTCGTTTTTAAACCCAACCTTCAGCCACGACCAGGTGTCTACACAGTGGTACTTCCAACTCTGTTGGTTACTTTATGAAATTCTTTTTGTGGCCGCCATTTTAGTATCGGTTGCATATATAAGCGCCATCTTTCCAAAGCTGAAAGACAGTCAGTGGCAGTACCACGGTGTGTCCTTGGCCGATCTGAGTGTGCACTGTATAAATTCTATTCTCCTATTGTTTGAGGTGTTCGTGTGTGCCTATCCAGTACGGCTTTTACATGTTATTTACCCGATGCTCTATGCTTGCGTATATACTGTGTTCAGTTTAGCTTACTGGTCGTGTAACACGGAAGAGAATGTCCTCTACCCGGGCGTCCTTGATTGGAATCATCCAGCTTTGACAGCCTCTTTTGTGGCTTTGTTAGTGTGTCTTATTATCCCACTGTTTCACTTCATTCACTACATTCTTTATCGCTTCCGATTATTTCTCTACAAGAAAGTATATAAGGAAGATTACCTTTTTGCTCTTTGAAAAGAAAAAAATGGTGAAAAAAAAAAAGAAAGACAAAAAAAGGAAAGTGTCCGGAAAAGGAAAAGAATTTGCTACAAGCCAGACTAATTCATTTAAGGTAGCATATCGCAAGAACAGTTAACAAGATAAAGGAAATATAAAATATCCTTGAATGATTCTCTTGGAAAATCCTGAATATGTTCCTATTTCCGGACACTTTTGTTTTTCCGGACCATTCTGTTTTTTTTCAGGCCTTTTAACATTTTGCTCTTTGAAAAGAAAAATGAAAAAAAAAAAAAAAAAAAAAAAAAAAAAAAAAAAAGAAAAGGAACCGGTAATAGAAAAGTGTCCGGAAAAGGAAAAAATTGCTAGAAGCTGGAGTAAGTCATTTAAGGTAGCACATCGCAAGAACAGTTAACAAGATAATATATATATATATATATATATATATATATATATATATATATATATATATATATATATATATATATATGGTATCCGTGAATGATTCTCTTGAAAATCCTGAATATTTTTCTTTTACGGATCCTTTTCTTTTTCCCTTGTGCTCTTTGAAAAGAATAAATGGAAAAAAGAAAAATACATGAACCCGAAAAACAAAAGGGTCCGGAAAAGGAAAAGAATTTGCTACAAGCCGGACAAATTCCTTTAAGGTAGCATATCCCATGAACACTTAACAAGATAAAAGAAATATATAATATCCATGAATGATTCTCTTGGAAAATCCTGAATATTTGAGAGAGAGAGAGAGAGAGAGAGAGAGAGAGAGAGAGAGAGAGAGAGATTACTTACACTATTTACATGCGTACTATTGATCTTATTTTTTTTTTATCACAACGTTTCGGCCGTTGCGCTCTCCGCTCTTCATCAGGTGTATCGACCCGAGTAACTTAGACTTAATTCTGAACTGAACCCTTTATTTAATATACTGTACACTATTCTCGTTCCACTGACCTTGTCTGCGGATATCTCGTCTAGCTCTTATTCCTAGTTTATCTCACTTATTGCTCGCTCCGTTCACACTCTGCCCGGCCCAGGGATTGAACTCACAATTACTATTTTACCAAACTCAAGCCCCAGGGAAATAGGACAAGCAGTAATTGAGCAGTGCTAAAAAGAAGCAGACAAGATATCCCTAGATATTGACAATGGAACGAGAACAGTCTAGCCCCGTAGATTAAATAAAGGGTTCAGTTCAAAATTCCCTACAGGTTACCCAAATCGACATACACCTGATAAAAACCGCAGTGTACATTGGTCGAAACGTTGTGATCATAACAATAAAGATGAGGACAATAGTCTGAATATAAATAGTTTAAATAATGATAACTCCTCATCTCAGAAATTTAAAAGAGAATTTGTCTTGTGTGTGTGTGTGCGTGCGTGAAAGCGTGCGCGCAAGTGTATGTGTGAGTGTGTATGTGTGAGTGTGTACGAATAGCAAAAAAAAAACTTCTAGTGTCTGTGGTAAGCTTCTATTAACACACACACACACACATATATATATATATATATATGTGTGTGTGTCTGTGTGTGTGTCTGTGTGTGTGTGTGTCGGTGTGTGTGTGTGTGTGTGTGTGTGGGATGCGGATAGACACACATTAGAAACATACACAGCTTCATCTCTTTTTTTAATACCATGTTCATCCAGGACGTAGGCGATCATAACCCTCCACAATTTCCATTAACCTATTATCCATATATACTCTTAAAAAAGATGGAATAGTTACCCGTTGCCTTCTCCACGGTTTGGAATTCAGAGTAACCCTTCTTCTATAATGACTGCAATCCAAGGCTATAGAGCCCCAGTTTCACCCCAGTCACATTTGGAGATATAAATTTGAAAAAAAAAATCATATCGCTTCAGGATGTAAGCGATCATTGACTTTCCTTTGCTCTTATCTGTGAATTTTCATGTTTTGGGGAGAAAGATAGAAAAGTGGTTTCCCGTTGCCTTTTTTAGGGTTTGAATTCTTGAGCTCTTTTTTCTCTACGTTTAGATTGCCCCTCAAGGCTAGAGAACACAGTCTACACTGCTGCTTCACGTAGAGCTGGTGTGCAGAAGAGACATATTCACGCCTTCTCCCAGGACATTTGTTCGAAAGTGAATAAAACAGACTAGCTCGGAATTTGAACCCCGAGTTGAAATCCATGACAATAATGCTCCCGCACTATTTAGGACACGAAACGTCGCAGAAATGTATGTTCGAAATTCCTTAGAGAAATTTGCGCTTATAAAGCAAAATCCGGCTTTGTTCAGTCGGCGACATATATATATATATATATATATATATATATATATATATATATATATATATATATATATATATATATATATGTATGTATATATATATATATATATATATATATATGTATGTATATAAATATATATGTATATATATATATGTATGTCACACATTATGAAATGGACAAAGTCCGACAATTATTTTAAAACATTTTTTATGTTTATACATTCTTTTTTATAGATACAAATCTTTAAGTAAATGCTCTGTTTATAATAAACAGTATTAACAACATTTACCAGCCTGAATGTCCGAGAAATTTTCATAGGTTCGATTCCTGTCGGAGGACGCATATTTTCTATGAAAATTTCTCGGACATTCAGGCCGGTAAATGTTGTTAATACTGTTTATTATAAACAGAGCATTTACTTAAATATTTTTATCTATAAGAAAGAATGTATAAACATAAAAAATGTCTTAAAATATGTATGTATATATGTAAATTTGTGTATATATATATATATATATATATATATATATATATATATGCAATTCCTATATATATTATTTACATATTATATATGCACGGTACTTATTGTTGGAAAGCGGTCAATATCAATGATAGAGCTAACATATTTCTTTGCTTTGATGTGAGTTTCTGACCATGGGTTTTCCGTCGATCGCAAAGGGCGTGAAACCCAGGGTCACAAACTCACATCAACGCAAATACATATATATATATATATATATATATATATATATATATATATATATATATGTATGTATATATTGTCCATGTGGATTCAGATTTCGTCCGGCGGTCATCATTCAAAATCCATATAAGATTAGTCTACTGGTCATTTTATCCGATGTCACTCGGCATAAAAGACCCTGTACGTAGCAAATATTGGACAATGCACTTTTGACTCACTTATCATAACTATACCATGCTTTTTTATTATATAATTTTGCGTTGATATTAATTTCAGATTAAAAATGTAAGTAAAACATGGTAAATAAAAGTTAGAATTTGGTTTCGGGAAACTATTCTTGATTTGTTTTAGATAAATTACGCTGTTTCTGCAAGTATGTTCTGATACACTAATCTTTATTTTATTTTTGAATCCGAATATTTTTCGTCATCAAAGCGAAATTTTGCTTCTATTCCTTCGTAATGTGCACACATTTCATGCAAAAGAAATATTGTCATATGTACTTTAACCTCCAACATTTGTCTTAAAAATGTTATCGTGCAAAACTCGACTTATACACAAGTATACAGTAAGATATTTTCTTGCAAAAATATCATTTCTCCTTTTATGCGATCATTTCACTGTTAAGTACACTGACAAAAATCTCTCTCTTATTACCCCCACCAAAAAAAATTATAAATCAATTCAACCATCTTAGATTTTGTTTTTCTTTTTATCGTGAAATTAGTAAACGACTTTTTAAACAAATGACATCGAAATATACCTGTTCTACTTTTCTTCAAAATATTTTTTATTGAATTTTCAATTTTTGATTTAGATGCTGATAAACGTAAACAATGGAATAATTTCTTCAACTTGCTTCTGGGATGTCATCGACAACTACCTAATTGAAATTTGAAATCTGCATTCCTCAATTTGGCCACACGCACTAGGGCCTGACAGCGTGTTCCTCATAGAATTGGTCTATATTCTCTGGTTCTAATAACAGAGACGCGTAAAAGTTCTTCTAGAAAGTTTAACTGCAATGATTAACACTTTTTCTTTTCTCACAGTAATTTATGTAGATTAATTCTTCGGCCTTCAAGAAAA